TTTTGAATATAATATATATTGTAGGGTTCTTGATTCCCTGACCCAGATTGCGATTACAATGAAAGACTTTCGTTACTTAATCTTATGCACTTATCATACAGAAGAGAATACTTTTTTTTACAAATGACTAAATTTTAATATTGACCTCGATGTCAGGAACTTTATTCGATTCAATGAAATGTCTGATCAGGTCACAAGGTCAACTGACAATGATTTCTGAGTCTCACAAACTATTTTATTTTAACCGCATTGTACCCATGTGGAATACCCTGCCTCTTACCTTTAGAAACAACCCAACCACGCACACTTTTAAGCAAAGTATTAAATTATTTTATAACGATCTCTTTTTAAATTAAAGTTAATGTAAATAATGTTTGTAGCTGGCTGTCATGTGGAGTTCTTCAAGGTTCTTTACTGGGTCCCCTCCTTATTTTGTACATCAATGATATCCATCAATCCTCTATTATACTTACTTAATTTCTTTCTTCATGCTGATGACACCACTGTTTTTTATTCTGACCATAATATCCAATCATTATTTGATAATGTCAACTCCAATCTGATTCCCTTGTCCCAATACTTTGCTGCTAATAAACTTTCAATTAACCATAATAAATGTAGCTTCATCCTGTTTGGGACCCCACAGAAGTTAAAATGTATTGTTACCACTTCTTTTAAAATTTTTCTCAACAATTATGACATACCCTCTGTTCAGTCAGCTATTAAAGTTCTTAGGAGTTCATCTTGACAGTGGCCTTACATGGAAAAAAAAAGCCTTGGTATTATTTTTAGATTATCCCCATTTGTACCCCTTTTTTGCCTTGAGTTCCTTTTACAAATTTTAGTGTTACATGTTAAAACTTTACATACTTGATTATATATCTTGGTCTGTGCAATTCGGGATCGGCCGCTATCAGAAGTGTGATTTGTTCGCCTGTTGGCCTTTTCCCGTCACCGGCAATCTTTTATTTCATTGATATTTTATTGTATTTTTGCCCTTGTGAAGTCGAATAAATAAAAAAATAAAAAATAAGATAAAGACCCCGGCAACTTTTTCCTGTCCAGAAAATTGGCCATTCCAATTCCTCAACTCTTCCCAGTCGGGAACATCAGACCTGATACCGTCGACTCTGGCAGCACCACTGGGTATACAGTAATAGTATTGAGAATAGTGTTGCTTTTATTTTAGGTGGGAGAAAGGCACTTATTTAAACAACCATTAAATTTAACATTTGGTATAATTTAGTAAAATTTCCCATCAGCCTTTGGCATAATTTGATTTGGACCACAGGTCACAAAGAAAGGTATAGGCCTAGCATTCAATTAAGTATTGCGGTTAAGTAAATGTTTTGATTTTAAAGAAGATAGAGAGTAGTTATTGTAATCTACCAGTAATTTAATGATGGAACCGGTAGTTCAAATGGAGGAATTATTGTCTTGCTTAAACAGCTTGTTTACCACCTCCCCATGCTACAATGTAGCTTGCAACAATAAAAATCCTGATCATTTTACCTGTGGTCCAAAAATTTTGTATTTCTGAAATGTTTATAAATTTATAAAAAAAATCCAGACCCCCACCACAACCTCACGTGAATGTTTCAGCTTTATAAAGGTATAACAAATTTCCCCTTGGGTATCACCAATCAACTCCCTGGGGTATTGACTTAAAAATAGAAGATTTCTGTTCCCCCAACCTTTTTTCCAGCAAACAGTAGAAAATTTCATCGCAATAGCTCAATGGGAACTGTGGTGTTGCTAAGGATTTTCTTTGACTGCTGCTGTGATTTTTCTTCAATTTCTTCAGTACTTTTAAAGACCTTTTGCTCAGAACATTATAGGCCAATTTATAGAAAATAATTATAATTTAAAATAGCTTAACTTTACACATAATTAATGTCCGATTAAGGTCATTGAGCCCTCATTATAAAGTTAACGATGTGCTCTATTCAATTACATTAAAAAAACATTTTGATAGAGTACGAGTTTACAGCCCTTTTGTGATCTTGGGTCCCAATTAAGCTTTTATGTGAAAGAAAAAATTTTTTCCAGTAAGTCACAGGTAATTTGTATTTAAAAATATTTAAAACCGAGAAAATATCTTATAGATTTACTGTCTGCAAAACAAAATCGGAAAAAAACCCTCAAAAATTAAATCAAAATGTTGAATATCTCATTTAAAAGGATCATACAGGTTTTTAATTTCCAATCAGAAACAGTTAAAAATATCTTCAATGACAAAGTACACATAATTTTTTCCAATCCAAATTTTTAATAACTTACTTACAAATTAAGCAATTGAAATATAGAATTAAATTTTTCAATTGTTTAGCTTATGACAGACAGTATATCTTTAGATAGGAGTGAGCTTATTCTACCATAGCATTCGTGCAGAATAGCTTTAACTGATCAAAACCTGCATAAATTTAATGATCGATAAAACTTACAAGACTTAGCTGAAGTTAAGAAGATCAGTGTCAATACCATGCAAAAAAACAGAAAATATATTGACGCACATGTTACACTGAAAGGCTGTTACCCTAAAGCAGCTCAGGTAAAGTGCTTAGATGATCTGGTATCTGCTCAAAGCCTGTTACACCTGAGCACTCAGCAACTTTGCAGCTCAGATAAAGTGCTCAGGTGATCTGGTTGACCTGCTCAAGGTCTGTTACTTTGCAGCTCAGGTACAGTAAAGTGCTCAGTTGATCTGGTATATGCTCATGCTCAAAAAGTGGCTTTCTCACAACATATTGTTACAGTGGCAAGTTGTTCAAATAGTATCATAGAAAAGTTCAAGTTATTTACATTTTCATAGGCATAATCACTTAAATTTGAGCATTTCAAAGATATGCTTAAACCCTTTTGTAATATGTGACTGGCTCTGGCAAAACCGTGGTATTTTTGCATGAATTCATCTTTAAAACAGTGTTTATTTGATGAAAATTGGTTGAGTAATTAGCGAAGCTATGTAGGTTTTGAAAAAACAGCTTCCAAAGATTCAAAAATCAATAGTTTATTCTTAAGATTTGTATTTTTAAAATAATTTTAATAACACTTTTCAGTTAGATTTAGAGATTGATATTTTGAAAAAATTTTCTTCAATATATCATCTTTTATATAATGTAAAAACTAAAATTCAGAATCTCAAAAGTTTTACGTCATTGTGTGAAATTAGAAATTGCAACAAACGGCAGGTTTTAACAGAGCCGGTCAAATATATCAATGGAAACAGACACAGCAATCGTGTAACAAGCCTTTATTATATGAAATCCCCCTCCAAAATCTTTTTACAGGTTTACAACTGAAAAAAACTAGAAATAATGAATTGTAAACTCACTGGCATCTTTCGATGGCTGACGGGCGAGTGTATGAACCGTGGAGGTCTTTGCCTTGAGTTTCTCGATAAATGGGGCTAAGTTTTTGCCAGTATCTTCACAAGTAACCAAGAACTCGTACTCATTTTTTGAAGACTTGGATGGACGAGACTCGATGTGCAACAAGTTCACGTTGTTATCCTACAATCATAACAAATAATACCTAAAGCTATGTCCACAATATCAAAACTTATGCCCATATAAATTTGTGATGTGCTTATATTATGGTCATGATGTGATGTCACGTGTGATGTTTCAAACTCACCTCAAAGAGTTTGAGCGCACGTGCTAGGGTTCCAACCTCTTGATTGAGAGAAAACATCAACGACAACTGAGGAATATCATGATCATGATTTTCTTTAAGGTAGCAGTCATCATCCTGAAATGAAAAAAATTATATTTCAGCATAGAAAAATTGAAATGTGAATAAGAAAGGATGTTGAAGATTATGAAGATGATAGTCAATACCCAATATGATCTTTAATTTTAGTCCACACATGACTGTAATATAACAATATCAGTGATGATTATGAGGATGATAATGATGATGAAGATGAATAATGAAGATCACGATCAAGATGATGATAAAGATAAAGATGACAATGATGATGATGATACTTATGATAATGAGAGATGATGATGATGATGATAGTAACAATTGATAATGATGATGTGTTATTCTGTTAACATATTTGAACTATTAATTATACAGAATACAGTTAAAATTTAATCATAAAATGTAGATATTTACAGTAATACAAATTATAAAACTCTTCAGAACACTTACATAGAGAAGATCTACATTTGTTGAATTTGAATTATTTCACAAATCTCTTAACAGGAAATTATAAATCCAAACAGAAATAGGATTAGGTGCCAAGGTTAAATCCATAGTTCAAAATCCAGCTTTATTATTCTAGAATTATTCTTCACCATTTTGTAAATATTATTATTATAGAAAGAAAGAAATATATGAAAAGATATTATGAGGAAATTAATTAAATGAATCAATGAAATAATGAACAAATAAAGTGATAACATAGTATAATCTCCAAGCATCGAAATGCATGCCATCGTGTTGGGATCCAAACATGATGGTGTGCATTTCGCTGCTTGGAGTACTGTATGTACTGTATTATACTATCTTACCCGAGATTAATCAGTGGACCTTTCGGTTTTTTAAAGTGATAACATAATTTGAAATATGGCTGAATTCAAAGAGTACATTAAACTTGGTAAGAAAGCAGCTACTGTTACTGTGGATTATTACCAGTAAATTTATATACTGGTGGTATAGTCAGATTTCTTTTCATATTACAACAATGTGTTTTACACTGATGATAGTATCACAGAATTGGACAAACTTCCAATGTGGAGATGTCAACTCCATTATAAAGGCCTATTAAAAAATGAGAATTAGCTTATACAAAAAGAACTTGAATTCACTTTACTAAACACCGTAAAAAATCGTTGATGAACCATGAGTATTCAATTAATTGAATGACAGAACATCGATGAAATACAATGAATTGCTGAATCAAATACATGAAACATCCTGTATAAAATATTGATTAAAATCAATTAACTGCCATCTTAATTAGTTTGATATAGCCTGGTGGGTTAAAACCAGGCTATATAAATAAAATCATTTTATAAATAAAATTATTTTCAATTACAGTAATGTTGATTAAATTAATATTTGTTTGAAGACAGGCAAATTAATATAAATTAGCTTTGCTAGAATCATATTTTTGTTCGGAGTCAACAAATTATTTAGAACAGATCACAGTAATTACCATACGCCAGAGCCTGCCTCAATAACCTCATGCATAAGTTTAATCTAACCATGATCTAACTTCTTTATCAGGCATAAAATACCTAACGTAGTTTACCGTAAATTATCTTATTCAGCCTTGTTAATACTATTTTATCACCCACCAACTGTAAAAAGTAATAATCTTATGGCCTTATCAACTTATACAAGCAAAAGGTTATCCTTAATTACCATATATTATACCAGCATCTACCAGGAGATGTTAGACTAACATGCTTGAAACTAAATTTAAGAAGTACATTTGCACTGCAACCTGTATTTCATTTTTTCATAAGCAGTGTAATAGATATCGAACAAAAAATGAAGTATTACCAATTCTTTATTTTGCCATGTTCTTAATCAATCCCACACCAATTTTGTGCCCAAAATATAAGCGTGCACAGCTTGGGCATAGGCTGGGGTGTGTGGACACTACCCCCCACCCAATGGCAGCAAATTAGTTCCACTGAGTAAAAAAACAAAAATGACCATTAAATTTTCATTGGAATAGGGATTTAGTTTTTGCATTTTCAATTTTCGCACCCCACCCCTCCCCAGGATGAAACCAGACTAGGCCCCTGCACAGTACTACAGTCTGTATGGAATTTTATTTATGAATAACAAAATAAAAATACTTAATTCTGTATCACTAGCTTAAGTTACAATTTGAATTTTTTTAATAAACTTTTATTCCTAATTATTATACTAAAACATCTAAATAAAAAAGTATTCAACAATAATGCACAATGAAAAAGAAATTCACTTTGTGTAAGTTCATGGTGTGAGGATATTATGGTGTCTTCTTAATCACATAAAAAATGACACCTGGGCTATTAAGACAGCAACCCTGGATTGGTTCAATAACACTTGTTTCAACTGACTGCACTCTCAAAACACTTCCATATTGTTTGCAGAAAGTCTGGTCTGCTAATTCTTGCTATCCTATTGTACTTCCTCACAAAGGCTCTGCATATTTACACAATTTGATATTACAGTGGTATTAAATGAATTCCATGTTTACTTGAAACCCCTTCCATGTCACAGTACTCCTGCCTCAGCCAAGTTCAAGTGATTTCTTTCAATAGCTTGTCTAGAGTTCCTGTGTATTGTATTTTCAATGGATATTTCTTATTCCATGGGATTATTTCTAGCATATGGAATTCAGTCAAAATCAAATATAAAAAATAGAGTATTAGCACCCTACTAAGTACTGTGACATCCACTGTAGAAGTAAAATTGCTTGCCAATGAAGACAAGTAAAGGTTTGAGCTAAAAACATTTGAAAACCATTAAAAAATGATAGCAAACACAATTTTAATTTGCCACAATTTCAATTCTTTTTTTAGTACTATAACTCTATTTACTATAAAATTCTACCTACCATTTTTACTATCAAAGAACACACAGAGCGTATACAAAACCAGCCGCACAATACCAGTATCAAGGCGATAAATGATTCAGGAAATTTTCAACAGTAATAATCATTTTCATTTTTAATAGCTAGCATGTGATTTGTACAGTAATAGCCCATTTCTTTTCATAGGATTATGAACAATGATGGTTGAAACATCAATAATTAAGACAGTAAATCAAAGAAAGAGTTGGCAAGCAGTCTAACATCATGCCCTTAAATACAAACTTAAGTAACAGTTTTCTATTCAGGATTTTTCTATTGGGAGGGGGGGAGGGTGTGAAACAAGGAAGCAAATCAAAAATGTAAAACATTTAAAAAAAAAAAAAAAAGAAAGTCACCTCTCTTCCAGCTTTTTCACATCAATTTAGCGGCGGCACCTGGAAAACCCTGTCAAGTGATCAAAGGATCCATGAAAAGGTCCTCAAAAGAGAGTCCACAAAAACCTCAAAACCTTTTTAGCAGTGAGATTGGCAAATGTAAAAAATCATGCTTCAATAAATATTTCCAAGTCATGATTATTTTTATTTACTGTAATTAGATTTAATAGTATAAAAATGTACCATTATAGATTGGCATCTTATGTTCACTAAAGGAAGGCTAGATGGCTCTATTGCAGATTTAAATAAATCAAACAATGACTAACACACATCATATTCTGATACCCTAGATTGCAAAGCGAGCTGCAATCTGATTGGCCAATTAGGGCAAGCCTACTTCATACCTCCATAGGCCTATGCAAGCCTACAGTTTACCAACTGCAACAATAATATTGTACTTTTTATCACAACTTGGGATAAGCTCCAGCCCATGTGGTGGCTTGGCAAGGATTTACTTTTTACGTATCACAATATAAAATTGATGATTATTTAATTTTAAGTGGACAAATGCTAAACATATGCATGATAAGCTTAGCTTACTATATTATTGAATGTGTGATTCTACAAAGATGAAGATGGATTATAAAATCAGAGTAAATAAAGTTACATTTACACTAGACACGTTAACGACACGAGTGGAAAATCGCTAGAAAAATAGGTGTGCAGAATCGTAATCGGCCCTTCTCTTACAGAATGCGCAGACGGAAAGTGCCATGCCTGGCCAAAAAGTATTTTTATTCAAAAAGTTTACTCCTGCATGGAGCTAGGCCTATTAAAATATACTCGCTGGTCTCAGGCTTTGTCAACAAACTACGTATGTAGAGTACTACTAGTACTACTACAAACAAGTACTACAGTACTTAGGCTAGGCCCCCCTAGTGACATTGACATTGACAATCATGATGACAGAGTTCCACATTGGTTTAATATATCTAGGCCCTACTAGGGAAGGTAGGAATAGAACTAGGCCTAGACCTAGGCCTAAATGGATATGCTCTGGCAGTGCATTCCGAAGTTCTCAAAAAGCACACATCACACCAAGGAACAACTTGGGTAGGCCAACGACAGAAGTCGCACATCCACACACGCCGTACGTATCCTTCTGCGATTCCAAACACAACAAGAAGAGGTGGAAGGGCCTAGCCCAGGCTATGTTTAAAAATAATAAATGAAGATTATTCTTACATTGTCGTCTACCTTTCTCTTTTTTGCAAGTCCTGCGTCCATCTCTGTTAAAACGAAACTAGTTGTATACAACTGAACACGGTAGTATTTATTAAATTTTTAAAAGAACAACACAAAATGTTGTAAACACAGCGGTACAATTCAATCGATACGATACGATTATCTCTTGCGTTTGTTGCGTGTCACACACCACCAGTAAGAGGTGGTTATATGGTGTGTCGTTTCAAGGCACAGATTGACCAATCATATTAATGATTAGTACTGTAGATGAAAAAACATAGATCAGAATTAGATCAGCACGCGTAATTGGTGGCGTTTTCATTATACTGAATGAATTTTTCGTTATCGTCATCGTCATTAATCGTAATTTCCTCATTCTTCTTTCACCTCACGCCATCCTCATCTTCTCTGTCATCAATTATTTCATCAATGTCACCATCCCATCCTCATCGGGATCCCCATCTTCTAATGTGTAGGCCTGTCAGGAAAAATTTGGTCCGGGCTAATTTTAAACGTTCCGACGGACTGGCCGATTTTTAGCTTTAAAATTACTGGCCAAATGTAGTCCACTTCAGCCAAAATCGGTCCGGCATCTATTTAGTAGTTACTGTATTTTTTTTAGCGTTGTTCATATTGGTTTATAACCAAATGATAGAAAAATATCTTATCTCTTTCTATATACCGTAATATTGTTTTCCTTTTAATAGCTTCAAGTCAACTCGGCCCCTTGTTGAAAGTCAGACTCCAGAGGGGGGGGGGGACATTTAATAGGCCTATGTTGTAGCACTGAGAATTATCAAAAAAACATAAAACGACCATTATCGATACTTTTACAATATAGGCCTAATATGATTGAGGACAGAATTAATATATCATGACATTGGTGTATGCCTAATGTCTGATAATTCCATGGAATCTCAGATGCAAACACATTTTACATTTAAAAAATGTAAAATTAGGTTGTCTGGTATTATTATGAATTTTGATTTCGATTTCGATTTATTAAAAAAAAAA